CATCAGGAACTCGGGGTGGAGACCTCTGTGTTATTCATCTCGTGCACCCTCCCAGCACCTAGTGCCACAGATTCCACATGGGCATGTGCTGATTACCCCTCCCCCCCCCCCCACCATTCTCCACCTTCCTCTGTGCGCTCTGAGCCCTGGGAGGCTGACCCCTGTGGACTGGATCGCTCGGGGGGGGGGGGGCCCGCCTTTTGGCTTCTGGCGGTTCATCCACTGGGCAGCGGTGGAAGGAGACTGGCTGGCACGAAGAGAGAAGAGTCTAGGTGTTTGTTCCCCACCCTCCCTGCTGGGTCACAGTCTGGGCCCCAGTTGTCTTCTTCCACCCTCAGCCACAGCTCCCACGAACGCCCTCTCCCGGCTGCTGTGACAAAGCCACCTCCCTTTACCCCTCACGCTTAGAAGTGGGAAGGACTTCCCTCCGTGGCCACTCTCGGGCCACATCACCAGCCCTCAACTGTGCCCACCTCTCTGTAAACACTTCCCTCGTTAAACCCTCCTCAGTACCTTTTTGGCGGTAACACTTGACTGACAGGGGCTTGAGCGCAATAAAACACTGAGTGAGTGAATGCGTGTAAGCGACATCAAAGGAAGAATTCAATAAGGCTAAAGTAGGAAAGAACTGTCATCCAACATTTACTGTGTTCAAAGCAGCACGCTAGGCCTGAGGACCAGGCTTACCACAGCCCTGTGGGGCAGTATCATTTCCACGTGACACGGGAGGAAGTGGGGACAGAAAAATCTTCCTGAGGTTCACAGAAACTCAAAGTGGTGGTCCCGATGTTTGCTACCTCCTCACCATGATTTAGCCTAAGCCTTTAAATCTCTGAGGAAGGCCTGGGTGGAGCAGGAGGGTCCCTAGAGTCTCTACTCCAGCATCTTCCCTGTGGCCCTTCGGCCTGGAAAATTCCAGGGACAGGGAGATCAATACCTTTGGATGTGGCCCAGACCCAGGACGGGAATGGAATCCCCCAGCCTCCGGATCCCAGGGCCCAGCTTCTCCCTCTTCCGTGGCCTGTCTCCGTCCTGCTCTCCGTTCTTCTCCCAGACGCGAGGCCCCAGTCAGAGAGGGTTGGGATCCACACCAAGGCCTTCAAGAAGAGGTGACTGTACATGAAACGATGCTCAGCATCCCTCCTCATCAGGGAAATACAAATCAAAACCACACTGAGATACCACCTCACGCCAGTCAGAGTGGCTAAAATGAGCAAATCAGAGAACTCTAGATGCTGGCGAGGATGTGGAGAAACGGGCACCCTCCTGCACTGTTGGTGGGAATGTAAACTGGTGCAGCCCCTCTGGAAAACAGTGTGGAGGTTCCTCAGGAAACTAACAATAGAACTCCCTTATGACCCAGCAATAGCACTGCTAGGAATTTACCCAAGGGATACAGAAATGCTGATGCATAGGAGCACATGTATCCCAATGTTCATAGCAGCACTCTCCACAATAGCTAAAACATGGAAAGAGCCTAAGTGTCCATCAACAGATGAATGGATCAAGAAGACGTGGTTTATCTATACCATGGAATACTACATGGCAATGAGAAAGAATGAAATCTGGCCATGTGTAGCAACATGGATGGACCTTGAGGGTGTTATGCTGAGCGAAATAAGTCAGGCAGAGAAGGACAAATATCCTATGTTTGCACGTATAGGAGGATTAGGAGGAACTTGACGGAGGAACAAGGGGGAGAAGAAGGGCGGAAATGGTGGGGGAAAGGGAGAGAGGCAAACCATGAGAGACTCTTGAATGCTGACAAAAACTGAGGACTGATGGATGTGGGGGGGAGGGGGGGATGGGCATGGAGGAGGGCACTTTGGGGATGAGCACTGAGTGTTATGTAGAAACTAATTTGACAATAAACTATTTGTAAAAAAAAAAAAAAAAAGAAGAGGTGACTGTACAAGAAAGGTATGGAGGAAGCGGGTGGACAGCTCATGTGGTGGACACGTCAGAGAGAAGCCTTGCGGCTTCCGCAGGCTGCTCTGTCTGTAGGAATCCATCCTGGGATAGATGCCATTCCAGCGAGAGAGGATCCACCTGACGGAACGATGCCGAGGAGAGGGAGTGTGGGGGGCAGGTGTGCAGAGGTGGAAGCCAGGCTGGAAAGAGATGCGAGGGGCAGCAGTCCCAGGCCCGACTGCTCCCCCTCCGAGGCTGCCTGACCCCCACTCTCCACCCCCACAGAAACAGAAGAGAGCTCTGAGCACCAGGTCTTTCCCTCCTGGGACTATCGCGCCCACACCAATGTGGGACTTGGGCCAGCTTCTTTAAAGGTTTCTGGAAGCTTCCATCAAGGCTGCTCTACCAAGGTGAACCTCAAGGGGGAGACCATTCTCCAGTTAAGAGGAGAAGGCGTCAGCTGGGGGAGTGAAAATGCTGGGCCCCCACACCTACACCCATCGCACCCCACAAGGTTCTCAGGTCTAGGAGAGCAGAGATGGGTCTAGTTCATTTCTGCAGCTTAAGGACCCCAGCCGTTGGGTGTTTAGCAAGGGTTTGTTGGATGATTGACTGGACCTGTAACTTTTTGTTACACATAGGCTGAAAACTTGAATTTATCTCCGTTTTTCAAAATCCAGCTAAAATGGCAATAACATCTCTTTTTTTTTTAAATTTTGTTAATGTTTATATATTTTTGAGAGAGAGAGAGAGACAGAGTGCAAGCGGGGGAGGGGCAGAGAGAGAGGGAGACACAGAATCCGAAGCAGGCTCCAGGCTCTGAGCCGTCAGCACAGAGCCCCACACAGGGCTCGAACTCACAAACCACGAAGTCATGACCTAAGTCGAAGTTGGATGCTCAACCGACTGAGACACCCAGGCGCCCCACAATAACATTTTTTAAACCCACCAATCCACAGAGACAAAGAGAAAGAAGAAAACAGGTGAGAGGGTCTAAGAAAATTTGGGCAGACGGATGAGTGGTACCTCTCTCAGAGCGCAGGAAGTGGAAACCCCAACACTCTGAAAGAGGAGGGCGTAGAGGATGGCACAGACATGATGCCTACGCCTGACACAGAGACGCGGAGGCTCAGACATGGGGCAGAAGGTGCCCTACAAGCTAGGGTGCAGGACGGGAGGGAGCAGAGCTATGAGGACTGGTGGAAAGCCTGTGTAAGGAGCCCCCAGATGCCCTCCACACGTATCCCCTGCCCCTGGCTGGAGGTTACTCTGGAGATTTGGACCCGAGAGCCTCGAGAAGAGAGAAGGGTCGCTCTAGATCTGAGAGTGAAGGGAAAGTCTGAATAGGAGGAGACCCCAGCTCCTTCCCATGCCGGCTCCTCAAACACTGACAATCAGGCAGGAGAGGCCTGGTCTAGATGCCAAATGGGCAGCCTCCAGCCCAGGATCACCAGGCAATTGAGATAAACTTCTGACTTCATTTTATTTTATTTTTTAAAGTTTATTTAGGCGTGCCTGGGTAGCTCAGTCGGTTAAGCATCTGACTCTCGATTTCAGCGCAGGTCATGATCTCACGTGTTCATGAGTTTGAGCCCTGCATGGGGCTGTGCGCTGACAGCATGGACCCTGCTTGGAATTTTTTTTTCTCTCTGTCTCTCTCTCTGCCACTCCACTATGGACTCTGCTTGGAATTCTCTCTCTCTTTCTCTCTCTGCCTCTCCTCTGCTCTCTTGCTCTCAAAATAAATAAATAAATAAATTTTATTAATAAAAACTTAATTTTTTAAATAAAATAAATAATATCTTTTGAGAGAGAGAGAGAGCAGGGGAGGGGCAGAGAGAGTAAGAGAGAGAGAATTCCAGGCACGGTCCCTAGGGGAGGGGCACAGAGAGAGAGAGAGAGAGAGAGAGAGAGAGAGAGAAAATTCCAAGCAGGGTCCATGCTATCAGCGCAAAGCCCCACCGGGGGCTTGAACTCACAAACATGTGAGATCATGACCTGAGTCGAAATCAAGAATCAGATGCTCAACCGACTGAGCTGCCCAGGTGTCCCTAAACCCTCTGACTTTTGAAAGAGAGCCTCCAACAGCAACAAACAAAAGAACAAGCAAACAACAGGAACCTAGACTCTATCCTGTGAGGTTACCTTTAGGAGAGCTCGTGTCCTTTCTCCCTACTCACTATCTTCTTTGCAGAGAAATGTGCCTGAGGAAGTCTGGCCAGTGCACTGGCTGCTTGCCTGGGTCTTCAGGCATCCCATCCCTCCATCCCACACCACCCTCAGACTCTTAGGCTCCAAAAGTATGCTCCACTGTATCCCCCACCCCAGCTAGAATGAGCTGTGACTCCTAGAAACAGAACCAGCCAGATTCACCTAGTGGTGTGCTGGCAAATAGTTAACAATGAGCTCTCTGGAAAGAAAAAAACCCAGTTTATGGGCGTTTGCTGGTTTCAGTGGTTACCAACATGAGGTCACTGGCTGTGGCCTTGGGAGGAGATGCCCACAGTCGTGGTCCCTCAGGACTGTCTGAACTGGTCCCAGAATAGCGCCGGATCTGCCTCTAGGTGACAGTGGCTAGGGACCCACTCAGGCCACCACTTTGGGTGAAATGCCCCCTGCCTTCATCACCCATCTCCATGAAACATGGCCCATGAGTCTGACTAACCTCAGAGTCAGCTCTTCCAGACCAGAGGAGAGACGAGAAGGGAAACCTGTCCCGCCACCAACAAGCTACAAGTCAGATGAGGCAGGTTGATGTAAAACGAGGGCTGGAGAGGAGGCCCTCCCGAGACTGTTTCCCCCCGCGTTACTTCCCTTTTTCGGGGGGCTGCTCCAACCCAGGCCACCTCCAGCTGACTTCTCTCTTTCTTGACTTTGGCAGGTTGCCAAGCTTGGACTATGGGGAGGGTGTGACCAGCACGGACTTTGCGTGGGGCTGAGGCTCTGGAGGGGTGTCATGGTCACTCCTGGAGAGGAGGGGACTGAGAATCAAGTCCTTCTAAGTCTTCAGGCATCTCTGGACATAGCCTGCTGTACAACATTCCTATGGCCTCAGTTTATCCACCCACAGTCACCCATTTAGATGCCAAGGAAAGGAAGGACAGACTTTAATTCCTGCTGAGAACAGAGACCTCCCTTTGCCACTGGGCACGGCACAGCTGTCTCAGCCCAGGCATGGTCCGCTCCTCCTGGAACAAGCAGCCCCTCCCCTCAGGGACCCAGGATTGTAGGGGGAGGGCGCAGGTGGGGTCTTCCGACGGGGAGGGGCCTAGGAGTGCCACAAGACCAGGTTGGCAGGAGGCACGTCAAAGCGCTTGCGGGTGTGGTCGGTGTCCCTCTTGTACAGGTAGCCACAGGTAGGCTTCTGCAGGGTGTAGAAGGGGTTCAGGGAGTTGGAGTACTGGGAGGTGTAGAACTTGAACCTGAGCTTGTCCAGGCTCTGCCCCTTCGGGTCTACCACCACTGGTATGTAGGCTGCCTCCAGGCTCTGCTGGTGATCGTGCTTCCACGACTGGGACAGGGGAGGGTGTGGACACTTCTGCTTTTTGCCTGATGGTGTCTTCGGCTCCTGGCTGGGTGCTGAGGCTTTCTTTGAGTCCTGTGGGGGTGGAAAGAAAGGCAGCACTGAGGCATCCGACACTGGGGCTTCCACTGCTAAGCCCACGGGTGGGAGTGGGGAAGGGGCTGTCAGAAGCTTCCAGAACCACCCCCGAGACAGTTCTGCTGGTCATGGAGCCAGACACCTCCAGGCAGGGGGCAGCCTTCAGGGCCCCCTCGCCTGACCTGTGATGGTGCAGACCTCAGCCTGCTTCTCAGAGGCCTCTGCCAGCTCAGAGGCTAAGAGCCGGGCTCAACTTCAACCCCCTGCACACCTCCCCAGTGTCCAGCTGACTGTCCGTGTCCTGTCACTCCCATCTGGCCCTCCTCTGCCACTGTCCCACCAAGCCTCCTTCCTCTCTCCTGCAGGGTTATTCAGCTTTCCACCAAGCTCTCCTATGCTCCTCCTGCCTCCCAGCCTGTGCTTCACATTCCCACTGAATGAACCTGAACTTGAACCTAAACCTGGCCATATCAGTGGTCAGATCAGATAGTAGTTCTCAAAGCATCTGTTGCTCTCTACTGACTTTCAAGGCCTCTAGCCTGGAAAGCAAGAACTTTCAGGACGGGGCTCCGCTCCCCTTATGCTCTAGTCGGACCTTCCGCCCATCGCCTCTGCTGGCACCTTAACCTTCCGGACCTCCATGCCTTTGCTCAGGGGCAGACCCCTCCCACCCATCAGGGAGATTCTTCTTCCCTTTTGGCCCTTGAGGGCTGTACTCTGTCAACCTTACCCTTGACATAATGGCCCCCAAAATCCTATTCCTTGTTTTCCTCCAGAGGAAAGCATTTAGTGAGTGCTCAATAAAGGCTGCTTCAGTTGAACTAGATTCTATTGACAAATGCCTAAGGACATTTGTTTACTCTCCTGTTGCCACTCTCGACTGCCCCGTGACCGACCGCTTTGACCTCGACACCATCTCCCAGGTACTGGATGCCCATTTTACTAGGGACCTTCACAGTCACAACAGCACAGCGCAAAGGACTGGATGCCTGTGTGTCAGCCTGGCTCTGTCCTACTCCTCCAGGCTACAGCTGAGAGGGGAACCCACTTCCGCTCTGCCCAGCCTCGCAGCCCTCCAGCCCACAGGGAGCCTGAACTGGCAGGGAGCCCTCGCTACAGAGTTCCTGGAAGTCCCTGGTACCCAAGAGACAATGTACGTCCTACTGCATGTAATTTACAAACGGCTTGCCCAACTCAAACCTGCCCAGGCTCTCTTTCCGAGCTGGCTTTGCTGCTATAGATTCCAACCCAGGAATGTGTGTGCCCTCAGCTTTGCATTTCAAAATTCTTCCTATCGTCCAAGCCACCAGTTCTCTTGACACCTCCTCCAGGAAGCCTCTGGTGCTGCAGTCCCCACCCCTGTGCCTTCAGGCATTCCTTTTGGGGTGTGGTCCTTTGCTAGGCTGGGACTAGGGGGAGGCAAGTATCCATTTTAAAGAGGTGCACTGAATGCCCCTTTATACATCCCTGTCGCCCTTGGGTGCTGTGCTTGCCTCATGCCAGTCCTGTATCCTGATCCTTCCGGGCTCCTGCTAATGTTCCAACAGCCTGTAAAACACTCCCAGTGTTCAGGACCACATCCTATTCACCTTTGTGCCCCTGGGGCTTCACCCAGTGCTGGCACACAGCCAAGCTGGAGAAAAGGGCAAACAAGTGTAGAACAGCTTTCCCAGAGCCTTTGAGTCCCGGCCATGGGGTTAGGGGCCCGGGAGGGGGGGGGTGGACAGCACAGGAAATGAGCTAGGATGGCGGTAAAAACAACCGTTCTTCACCAGGGCTCCAAGAACAGCACCAAACTCTTTACATGGATTCTGTCTTTTAATCCTCACGTTACCCTTCTGTAGTTGAGAAAAATGCAGTAAGGGTGTCCGTCACAAGTTTAGAGGGTCAGGCAGCTGGTAAAGAACCAGGCTGGGACTGAACTCAGGCCCGGCTGACCCCAAGGTCCACACCCTATCCTCCAGGATGGATCCCCTGTCAATGAGCTGAGCTTCTGATGGGAAGTTCTGGGCGGCAGGGGAGCAGCTGAAGAAAGGAGCAGCCGGATCTCCTGGTTTGGCAGGAACACAGTGGGGCTGTGAATGCTGGAATTAGAAGTTGCCATCTCTTAGCCCAGCTGAGAACAGGGCATTATTTGCTTCACTGGTTCGCTCATTCATTCGAAATGATCCCTCTGAGACGGCAGGCTCTGAGTGTGCAAGTAAAAGACTCCAAAACGTAGACTTGTACAAATATGAGCTCCCTGCCCTCTGCGCCACTGACATTGTGCGCCGCTGATAATTCTTTTTTTATTAAAAAATTTTTAATGTCTATCTATTTTTGAGAGAGAGACAGAGCATGAGCAGGGGAGGGGCAGAGAGAGAAGGAGACATAGAATCTGAAGCAGGCTCCAGGCTCCGAGCTGTCAGCACAGAGCTTGACGTGGGGCTTGAACTCATGAACAACCTGAGCGGAAGTCAGATGCTTAACTGACTGAGCCATCCCGGCGCCCCTGACAATTCTTTGTCGTGGGGCAGTCCTGGACATTGCAGGATGTTTAGCATACTAAGCATGATTCTGAGGATGTGGGGTTCTGGTCCTCCTGACACTGCAGAAGGGCTCAGCCCGTGGCCCCGGAGCTGGAGATGAGGGAACCGCAGAGCACACCCCACACACGCACCCCGCCTCCGTCTCAGCCACTTGGACCCCACGCCTCAGGCTTGGGAGGCTGGTGTCAGGAGTGACGGACGCACATGCTTTCAGAATGGCTGGGGCTCTGACCCAGGACCCACAGAGGGAAGGGCGATACTGTTGCTAATGGGACTGAGTATCTCCTGAGCTCCAGGCGCCAGCCGTTGAGCTCTGCGAAAGCTTGTAAGAGCCATTTAAGATGTCACTCCCATGTCTCAAATGTAGAAAATGAGGCTCGGAGGCAGCGGTGCATGTTTAAGTTCACATAGATGGCGGGGTGGCACAGAAGACCCCCGCAGAATGCCCGCAGCTCCAGACTAGTTGGGGGGGGGGGGCGACCAGGATGCAAACGCGCCCCTCTCTCTCTGCCCCAGCCCATCCTGGGTCTACCTGTCAGCTAGCCCTCCCCCCCCACCCTCCCGGGACTGCTAAGGCAACATGTGGGCCCTTGGGGTGGGGTTTACCCAGGGCCTTGAGCGCATCCAGGGATGAGGCCCTCACAGAAACTAGGGCAGAGGGACTGTCCCTGGGAGGAGGAAGAGGAGGAAAGGGAGGAGGAAGAGAAGACTCAGGGCAAGGGGGAGGAGGAGGAAGAGGAGGAGGAGGAGGCCCAGGCAGCACAGCTTTGCCCTGCCCCTTCCAAGGGCCCGGCTGGGCTCCAGGTGACTAACTTCAGAGGGCTGAGAACACCCCATTGCCGGCCCAGGGCCCAGCACAGCCAGCTCTGGGGAGGAGGGTGGGGCCTGAATGCATACTTTCCAGGTTAACATCTGGTTTCATTTAACCATCTCCTCCTCCGGCTCCTCCCATCAAGTGCAGGGGGTTGGGGGGACGCTATGTGTGTGACTTCAGAGAAACGGTTCACAACGGTGGTGTTTTTCTCCCCAGGGAACATCTGGTGATGCCTGGAGACATTTTTGGGTGTCACAGTGGGGGTGCTACTGGCACCCAGCGGGTGGAGGCCAGAGATGTTGCAGACCATCCTACAGGGCCAGGACAGCCCCCCAGTAAAGAATTACCAGCACACAATGTCATCAGTGCCAAGGCCGAGCAGCCTGCTCTAGAACTTCAGGGAAGACCCCTAACTCCTTTCCTGCCTCCTGCAGCCTTCACTTAAGCCTCCCGGTCTATGGAGTGAGGAAATCTAAAGGGCAAGTTCTCACCAGCCCCTTCCCTCCCTTCCAAATCCTGCTACCCTATTTTTACTTGGGTTTCCAGCTGGAGACAAAAGAAGGATCCTGAATAGACCTTTCCCTCTATGACCCGCCCCCCCATCCCCACAGGCATAGTGACTGTCTCTTCTTTTTTTTTTAATGTTTTTATTTATTTCTGAGAGAGAGACAACATGAGCAGGGGAGGGTTGGAGAGAGAGGGAGACACAGAATCTGAAACAGGCTCCAGGCTCTGAGCTAGCTGTCAGCACAGAGCCCGATGCGGGGATCGAACCCACGAACCGTCAGATCATGACCTAAGCCAAAGTTGGATGCTTAACCAACTGAGCCACCCAGGCACCCCTTCTGCCAGGACTTAGAAAAGGGGATAAGGGTGACTCAAGAGTAGGGCTTTCTGAGGAGGGCAAGAAGATCTCACATGTGGTATTTCAGGGGTCTGGGAAGTCACTGCCCTGTCAAATGCTCCAGGCCCACCGGCTAGCCTAGCCCAAGCCTGACATCCCCCACCCACACCTCACTCTCTTCGAGGAAGGCCTTGTGCCCTGTTGAAATGCAAACAGCGCTGGGCGAGGCCTCAGGTTAAGCCTCCCAGGGCACCGGTATGGGTACCACGGAATGTGCCTGGGCTTTGGAGTGTGAAGGTCTGAGCTCAGGGCCTCCCTCTGCCCTACAGGTCAGGCAACGTGGGGCAAGTCTCGGAACCTCTTTGCCTAGTTGCCCCGCCTGCAAAATGAGGATAATAAGGCTATCTGCCTCACCAGCGGGTCGTGGGGGTGCGATGAGTGTGGGAACTTTGAGGGCACAATGCAAATAGTAATTATTATCAGTCTCATCCAGCAGTTACCTGTAGATTTCGAACGCGCTCATCTGAACCTTTATGAGAGCAGGTCGGTGTGCGGTGGGGCAGAGGGGCTGGGAAGGGAGCAGATGAGGCAGCCAGGCGTGGGCCTTAGCTTCCTTGTGAGGCTGTGTAACGTGGGGGCTTGGAGTTCAAATCCCAGCTCCACCATTCACACCAACTGCCTGATCTTTCAGTAATTCATAATACCCTGTACCTCAGTTTTCCCACCTGTGAAGTGGGAACGCCCAAAGAACCTATCTCATGGAGACAGGGGTGCCTGGGTGGCTCAGTGGCTGAAGCGTCTGACTCTCGGT